ATAATTAATAAACACGTGTTTACAGCCCTACGACCGCGTGTTGCGAAACAGTACCGTCTCCTCGAACACCAGTTCCTTGAGGCGCTCCTTCGGGAGGTCGTCCAACTCCATCTCGAAGGTGAACGGCTCCTCGGCTACCGGTTCGTCGGCCGGGTCGTAGTACTGGTCGAGGTAGGGGTGTGCCAGTGCCTCCTCGACGGTAATGCGTTTGTGCGGATTGAATGTCAACATCTTGTCCAACAGGTCCAGTGCCTTAGGGTCGGCGTCGGCGTACATGCGAGCCCAGGGAACCTTGGCTTTGGCCGGTAGGGACTGCAGGTATGAGCGCGCCTTCTCGTTGATTATGCAGTTCAGGTCCTCGGCCGATGGCGACCCCAGTATGCCCAGGATGTGGTTCAGCTGATCCAAGTAGTGTTTGCCTGTTGGGGGTCGTGTGTGGTATATATCCCGGCGCACAGGTAGGTGTGAGCGTGTGGTGGTGTACGGGAGGGAATGGATACAAACAGTCAGTTAGCGATCAATAGGCTATGAATTGTTGCGACAAAAGATCAGTCACTCCTAAGCGACTAAACCTTAAACACAATCTCAAGACTAAAACTACAGATACGAGGGAAACGGTAGTCCATCGCCGCGCATCATAAACACACACGACTACAGACACGGGGAGGGGAACGGTAGGCTTGGCTTACCGGGAAATATGGGCCGATTGGAGATCATCTCGGCCAGTATGCAGCCCACGGACCAGATGTCGATGGACTTGGTGTAGCCCTTGCTGTTGAGCATAATCTCGGGCGCTCTGTACCATCGGGTGGCCACGTACTCGGTGAGGAAGCCCGTGTGGTCGTGCTCGGGGTCGGCCACCCGGGCCAGACCAAAGTCGCAGATCTTCAGGTCGCACGTGGTGTTCAGCAACAGATTGGACGGCTTGAGGTCCCGGTGCAGCACATTGGCCGAGTGTATGTACTTGAGGCCGCGTAGTATTTGGTACAAGAAGTAGCAGATGTGGTCGTTGGAGAGCTTCTGGGTCTTCAGCAGCTTATACAAGTCGGTCTCCATTAGGCACTGCACTATATAGACGTCCTTCATCTGGTCGATGGCCTGCGCGCGGATTATGTCCCGGATGTCGATTATGTTCTCGTGGCTGAAGCGGCGAAGTATTTTTATCTCGCGAAGCGTCCGCTGACAGTAGGTCTGGTGCTCGAAGGGCGAGATCTTCTTGATGGCCACCTTGTGTTTGGTCAGGTTGTCCAGCGCCGACACCACCATACCGTACGCGCCCTCACCGATGTACGCCAGGTTGCTGTACCGCGGGCCCACCTCGAACATCTGACCTCGCACACACTCCACCATTGTTGACACGGTAGGTCAGGGGTTATGATATGCGGCTAACGGTGCTAATGGTGGTGATCCTGTTTTCAGTAGGTATTCGTACACCACATAGACATACACACAGTGTTAATGGTATGGTATATATCGCTGGCTAATCACCAAAACACACTACAAAACACAATGGATCGCAATGGTTGAGAGCACTGGTAGCTTTCTATCTACGAGAGCACTGGTAGGTCTGTGCAACTAAAATCGATAACCATAAGAGAGTTTGGGCTACCGGTGCTCATGCGTTAAATACGCACAACTGTCCCCATACAGTTGTGTAATTGTATTATTTTTAAAAGTTTTCATAATTGTATCTAGGCTATTCGTACGAGTAATAAATTTTTTGGTATAATTAAAATTTATATTTAGTTAATAGTTTATTTACAATTAATATGAGCCAGTACAACTATTAATAAATTATAAAATAACTAGATTTTGATTATCAAAGTTAGCATGTTTTTAATCGGGAGTTGCCTGTATTGACTATTAGCGACACCTAGATTGAGCTTAAATCTAGCTGTGTACATAAAGTATAATACACAAAAAGGGGGTAATATAGGGGCATTGTCTAAAATGCCCCCATAGTCTACAATACGTTAATTATTTGTTATTTGACGTAATTAGTTAACATTGCCAATAACCGTAAAGTAGTGAATAGGCATAATAAATGTGTATAATTTAGTACCTTTTATGAGTGCATAATACTATAGCCTCTCGTATATAAACATACTAAAGTGTGTGACAATGTTATGTTTACGGGCGTTGCCTATCATATGAGTGGCAAGTGTTGAGACAATAAGACAATTGATTTGAT